AGCGATCGTCCGAGGCACAAGACCAAGAGGCACAGCGCGCCGACCACAAAATCGTAAGGTGGTCCGACTTTTCCAAAAAGCCCGCCAGGCCGAGAATGCCCTTTTCCTTCAGCTCTGGATTACCCTGCGCAATGCAGAGCTTGTCAAGGAAGACCACGAGTGGTCTTCTCAAGAGGGTTCGGATACGTTGCCAGAAGAAGAAGAACAACAAGAACGCCAGGTAGACGCAGAAACTACTGATATGAATTTCAACACCATCGCCATACTTGGGAGCAGAGTCCTTGGTTTCCCACTTCGTAGGCCCAACAGCCTGGGTTCGTTGCAACGAGTTCAAAGCCTTGCTGCCTCTGCAACTAAGTGTCAGTTGGTCTACATAGGCCAAGAACCAGCGAACATATCAGAGTTGCAACCATTGCTGTCCGAGAGTTAAAAATGAAAAGCATGGTGCAGAGCTTCAACCATCGAGATGTGAGCCAGTCGTGGCTCGGAAAATGGTCGTACTTGGACGTCTTGAAGCTCAACTCAAAATCTGCCTCGTCCGTTGAGTTGCTGGCCCAATGGCTGCCCATTCCACGTAGGCCTTCGCTTAAAGTCACCGCCCTCAAAAGGTCCTCTTCGAGGTCCATGCGAAGTTGTGGGCCTTCGTCTGTCTGGTGCTTCGTAGGGAATGGGGGAAGGGGTTATAGGGACTACTATAAGGGACCTTAAGGGACTATCATAGGGATCCATTCCCCCATTCCCTACTAAGCACCAGGCCTTCATCGTCGCTTAAGCTGCCGGACCTCCGTGTTTCGGGTCGACTGGGCTCTGGATTCCCGGGACGCAGATCCACCTGGGTAGTTCTCTAGGTCCCCTTTTAGGGTTTAGGGTTTAGGGTTTAGGGTTTAGGGTTTAGGGTTTTAGGGTCCTCTTTTTATAAGCGCGCTGTACTATTTTGGGGGGGGACCTAAAAAGAGAGCCGAATTTGGAGAGGCATTCGCGCCTGCACGACGCTCTCCGATGGCAGAGACCAGGTCTCCGGGTCAGTCGCCACCAGGAAATGCGACATGAGGGCTCAAATGGCTGTGTGGGCTATCGGGGCTGGCTGCGAGAAAAAAAGGGATCATTGCGAGAGCTGTGAAGCCGTCGCCGCGGTATCAACATCAGCTTGTCAACAGCTGGCAAGGCAGCCTCACTCTCAACATGAGTCATGCTGTTCAGGGTGGCAGTCTCAATAGAGATATCCACATCAACCCTGATCCTCGCAGTCAGTCTAGCGGACCTAGCAAAAAGGCCAAGGCGTGCTCAGACCGACCATCCGTTAGTAGCCGGCACCTCCAGCGCCAGAGGCCAGGTTTCGAGATGCCTCAGGACTATTCACACTATTCACCTATTTAGGGGTTTAGGGGTTAGTGCTAAGGGTTTAGGGCTTAAGGCTTAGGGTTTAAGGTTTAGGGTAATTATTCTGAACTTGGGACCCTCGCAACAATTTTAATTTTAGCTGTTTCTTCGGCATAATAGTAAACAAAAAATAAGAATTAGTTCTAAGTACCCCGAAGAAGAAACGGACAAACTACTGCCCCACTTCAATCCACTTCAGAGAATCCTAAACGCTGCCTAACAATCCTAAAGCCCATAAGACTTCCTTGACCTTGAACCCCGCTTAAACCCTACTTCAAGCAACCCTAAACCCTAAACCCTAAACCCTAAACCCTAAACCCTAAACCCTAAACCCTGAACCCTACTTCAAGCAACCCTAGACCCTAAACCCTAAACCCTATAGTCTTTAAGCCGATTGAACCCTACCTGGCTCCTGAAACAGCGTCCTTTTTACGGACTTCTACAAGGAAGTCACGGCAAGGAGCCAAAAAAATGTAGGTTTCTTCGGGCCCAGGAACACTGTCAACCTCCTAAACCCTAAACCCTAAACCCTGAACCCGATCAGGTTCCGTTAAAGGTTCCGGGTGTCTTAAGAAGCTTCTTTACAGAACCAAGGCTTATCCTTGGCGCCACCTTCTGCCGACCTGGGCGTCCGACATTTCCGCGAAGAGTTGGCGGGTTCTATGGGTTCCTCCTGACAGAAAGGTGCGGAGCTAGAGTTAAAGGAAACAACGGGTGGGGAGTTTAGGGTCTTTTTTCGGCTTCTATAAGGCTTCTATAAGGTATATAGGCCTTCTATGAGGCTCCTATAACGTCCTAGATAGGGGGGTGGGGGGCGGGGGCCCCTAAACCCTAAACCCTTGAGGCTTTCGGGTTTGGGGCCGAGGCTTTCTTAGAGTGTCGGGTTGAAGACGGTTTAGGGTTTAGGGTTTAGGGTTTAGGGTTTAGGGGTTTAGGGGTTTAGGGTTTAGGGTTTAGGGTTTAGAGTGTCGGGTTGAAGGTGTGGGCGTTTTGAGCTTCAAGGTTTTGAGCTATTGACCTATTCAGGGTTTAGAGCTTAGGTTTGTAGGGTTTAGGGTTCAGGGCTAATACTGCTTTAAAGGAAGGTGGCTTCTTCATCCGCGGTGAGAAGCGCCCCAAGCCCAAAAACCTTTCTGAGATCTTGACATAACCCCTCTAGAGCTCGCTACGCCCCTGCAGGACACTCAAATGACCCACAGAACCCTATGAGAGCTTCTAGAACCCGACCGAGCCATTAGAACTGTCGTTAAGAAATTCATCCCAAAGCCCATGAACCCTAAACCCTACACCCCTAAACCCTAAACCCCTATAAGACCTCAACTATAAGACCTAAACCCCTAAAACCTTAACCCCTAAACCCTGAACCCCTAAACCCTAAATCACTACACCCTAAACCCCCAAAACCGCAACCCCTAAATTCCGCAAACCTCAACCCCTAAAACCTAAATCCCAAAAACCTAAAACCCTAAAACCAAACCCCCTAAACCCTAAACCCCTAAAACCCAAGCCCTGAACCCTAAATTCCTAAAACCTAAACCCCTGAACCCTCAACCCCTAAAACCTAAACCCCTAAAACCGCAACCCCTATAAGACCTCAACCCCTATAAGACCTAAACCTTATAAACCCAGAGTCCACTTTTTTGAGCCGGCCAACAGTCATCATCGACAGAGCTGTCGTCCGGGCTAATGGACGAAATCCTGCGTTACTTGTAGGGTTTACGGTTTAAGGCGGTTTAGGGTTTTAGGGGTTGAGGCTTTAGGGTTTTACTCAAACCCTAAAATCCCTAAATTAGGGTTTGGGGTTTAAGACGGTTTAGGGTTTAGGGTTTTAGCGTTTCGGGCTGCTGGTCTGCTGCTCTGTAGGACTCTCACGTACAATCCTGCAATTGTCCAGAACGGCTGCCCAAAAACTTTACCAGGCTCCAAGCAAATACCGTTAAGGTGACCCTAAACCCTAAACCCCGTTAAGGTAGCTTGATGGGATACTTAAGGGAGTGTGGTTCACCGGTGGAGGGTACCAGGGATCCAGAGGAACTGTAGGGAAGCTTACGGAGAAAAACATTCAGAGCATAGTACTGTTGATGGTTTAAATCCTGCACTACCTTCAGGACCCTGAACTCTGGGAATTATGGTATGTTCCATATTATGGGTAATGCAGGATTGATATCATCAACCGTATTATTTGTGAACTAAAACTGGGTACTGTACTTGAACCCCTTTTCAGGAATCCTTATGAAAACCCCAAACCCTAAAGCCTAGACCCCAAACCCTAAACCCTTAAAGGAACCCGTAAAGGCCCTAAACCCTAAACTCCTAAAGGAACCCTTAAAGGCCCTAAACCCTAAACCCTAAAGGAACCCTTAAAGGCCCTAAACCCTAAACCCCTAAAGGAACCCTTAAAGGCCCTAAACCCTAAACCCCTAAAGGAACCCTTAGAGGCCCTAAACCCTAAACCCTTAACGGAACCCTTAAAGGAACCTCGAAAGATCCCCCTAAGGCTTATATAGCCTCTTTAGAGGAAACTACAGGTGGGGAGTTTAGGGTATATAGGGCTTCTGTAAGGCTTCTATAAGGTATATAGACCTTTTATAACGCTCCTATAACGGTAACTACCCACCTGAAGATGTCCTAGACCTCCTTCTGATTCAAGGATCCCCAAAGCAATGCAGGAGTGTCTCCATCAGCAGCAGGGAGCTTCTGCAGACTGGCTTTGCGTGGTTTCGGGTTTAGGGTTTAGGGCTTAGTTTAGGGCGTAGGGCTTAGGGTTCAGGGTTCAGGGCTTAGGGTTTAGGATTTAGGGTTTTCAGTTGACGGTTTATGGTTTAAGGGTTTAGGGTCTACTAGACTTTGAAATAACCACGGAGAAAAACGTGCCCCCACAAAAGTATTCAAGTATGGTACTCCAGAACCCAGCTAGAGTTTAGGGTTCAGGAAATCACGGGTTCAGGGTTTAGCCATTGAGGGTTTCGCAAGGGTTTAGCCCCTCCAGCCGTTAACCCCACTTATAACCTCGGAGAAACTCACTGCAACCTCCCATCAAAAGAAACTTCCATAAACCCTAAACCCACGAGAGTTAGTGAGAAGGTTCATGTCTTCACGGCTTGGGATCTTCATTCAACTTGTACAGGGGCCTTGATAGTTAGAATAGGGTTTTGGGGGTATGGCATACTATGAGTACAAGAAGGAACCCGAAAATAGCACTACACCCTACACCCAAACCCGTAAACCCTGAAAGCCACCCCCATGACCCATAACCCCCGTACTCAGCCGTGGAATCGGGAAAGCGCCTGCTGAGGACGATTCTTGAGCTTGCCCTGCTACCTATGCCAGAGAAGGAACCCTAAACCCCCCAACAAAAACTTCAAAAACACGAGAAAACAGACTCGACCCTAAACCCTAAACTTTAAACCCTAAACCCTAAACCCCCAAGTCCTTAAAAACACCCCTAAAGCCTGGAGTCTAAAAGCTGTATACGAAACCCTAAGACCAAGGCTCTGAACTCTAAAGCCTGATGAAGATCTTCAGCATGACTGGTTTTATGCCAACTGAGGGTTTTAGGGGTTTCGGGATTAGGGTTCAGGGTTAGGGGTTTCGTGATTAGGGTTCAGGGTTCAGGGTTTCGGGATTAGGGTTCAGGGTTTAGGGTTTAAGGTTCAGGGTTCAGGGTTTAGGGTTTAGGGTTTAGGATTTAGGGTTCAGGGTTTAGGTTTTAGGGTTTCGGGTTAGGCTAACCCCTACCTGAACCCCAAAACACTACCTTCCCAGGTTCCTTGCTATAAATTGCTGAAACAGGTCCTTTGAAAGGTAGGTTCTTGGTAGGCTAAACGGCATAGAAGCTCCCAAACTACTTCGAGTTTTTCTGCCTGGTGCTTAGCAGGGAATGGGGGAATGGATCCCTATGATAGTCCCTTGAGGTCCCTTATAGTAGTCCCTATAACCCCTTCCCCCATTCCCTACTAAGCACGAGACAGACTTTGAGTTCTTGCGGGCCTCCAGCCCTGGTCTCCTTTGAGAGCCTCATTCGCCGGAAATTGGTCTCAAGGTTAGCAGTAACAAACTTATCCATTCAGGGCAGGGTTTTAGGGTTTTAGGGTTTAGGGTTTAGGGTTTAGGGTTTAGGGTTTAGGGTTTAGGGTTGAAGTTGACCCAAGTTTCCTGTGGTGAAGAACCTTTTTGCAGTTACCTACAT